TCAGGAATGGAGACAGATTTTAATGAAAGATTACATATTTTTGTCAAGAGATCCACAAGTTCACATTTGAGTTCTTTCAGAACTCTTGGATGTATGCCATCCGGGCCTGGTGATTTATCAGTTTTTAAGTTGTCTATCAGTCATAGAACCTCCTCTCTCGTCACCTCAATCTGACTCAGGTCTTTCAACATCCCTCCTGAAATCAGCGGTTCTGGAGTGGGCAAGCACTTCTCATCTTCCACAGTGAAGACTGAGGCAAAAAAATGCATTCAGCTTCTCAGCCATTTCCCTATCATCCTTCAGTACTCCTTTTACCCCTTGGTCATCCAAGGGCCCCACTGTCTCCCTGGCTGGTTTCCTGCTTCTAATGTATTTGAAGAAAGTTTTATTGCTGGTCTTTATGTTTTTTGCTATATGCGCCTCATATTCCCTTTTTGCCTGCCTGATCACAGACTTGCATTTTATTTGCCACAGCCCATGTTCCCTTTTATCAACCTCACTGAGACTAGCTTTCCACCGCTTAATGGAATCCTTCTTACCTTTTACAGATTCCATTACTTTGTTAACCATGCAGGCCTTTTTCTATACCTATTTGTGCCGGTCCTAACCTGTGGTATATATATTTTTCTGAGCTTCTAGGATTGTAGTTTTAAATATTTATTTATTTATTTATTTTATTTACATTAGACTTGATATCCCGCTCTTGTCCCATGGCTAGGGTCTCAGAGCGGCTTACAGGGTTTCTGGTGCTAATCACCTAGTAGTCTCCAAGCTTCCCCAATGGTTTTGACTCTTTGCACAAAATTCTGCTCAGTCAAGAGAAAAGAGATTTGCCTTGTGCCAGAACTGGATGCTGCTGCTTATGGATGATCCATAATCCAACAAACTCATGACAACACAGACTCACATGATCAATCCATCAGTCTCTCAGTATGGATGAGAATGGGTCTTCCAATATGCCTGTCTTGTTTTTTAAATCCTTGAGCTATAAGTCAAACACATGTGTGCTGATCTCTGAATCTTGCAGGCAAAACTCAACTGCCTTATGCTTTAAATGAATTGATTGCGGTGATTCTGTGAAGGCTACAAAAGATGCAGGCAACCATGTTTGTTTATTCTATACCATTCTATACCATTCACGTATAGAGGAGAGAAGCACGTGCTGTCGAGTTGCAGCCAACACATATCAACCCCATCCCTGGGGTGTTCCAGGAAAGAGATGAGCAGAATTGTTGCCATTGCCCTCTTCTGCACAGCAGTTCCTGTCTTTCTTGTTGGTCTCCCATCCTAATAGTTATCATGGCCAAACCTGCTTAGCTCCCAAGCTCTGACGAGCCCAGGCTAAGCTGGGCTATTTACATAAAGAGCAGGGTCTTATTTTAATTTCTAAAGCAGCATGAGGGTGAGGAATGCGATTTCTTAATTTTCTGAATTTCCTACACTGTCCCTTCAGCCAATTTTCTTTCAGTCCACTTTATTTTCAATATCAAAGTAAGGTTGGGAGAAAAATGCCTGAGGTAGCAGAGTACAGGGAGGTAAGTGGAAGGAGAAGATAGGTTAAACTCCATTACTAACTGACCTTTTTTATTTTGTGTGTGTGTGTCTATATGTGTGTGTGTGTGTGTACTTGGAAGTCATGGCGACCTCTGTTGACTGACCCCTACTGGGGGTCTGGAGGATATTCAGAGAAGTGGCTGAATAAAGCCTGCCCCTGCTTCCCGCCTCTGGTATTTCAAGAAGAGGAGGAGATTGGATTTATACCCCACCCTTCACTACCCAAAGGTGTCTCAGAGCGGCTTACAAACTCCTTTGCCTTCCCCTCCCCACAACAGACACCCTGTGAGGTAGGTGGGGCTGAGAGAACTCTTGACAGAAACTGCTCTTTTTCAAGAACAGCTGTGCCAGAGTTATGGCTTGCCCAAGGTCATCCAGACAGGTGCAAGTGGAGGAGTGGGGAATTACCCGGTTCTCCCAGATTAACCACTATACCAAACTGGCTCTTCCATCCAAGTACTTGCCAGGGTCGACGCTGCTTAACTTTTGAGATCTGATGAGATTGGGCTTGCCTGGGCTATTTAGGTCAGAGCTCTACCATGACCTTTTTGATGGTAAAACTAGATTCTACCTACTATTTAAGATTTTTCAGGAAACCCCCAAAAATCCGGAAATATTTGGGTATATCCAGGAACAGGGCTGCCATTTTAACATTCCCAAGACTTTCCCCTGCCATTTTACAGGACTCCTGGAGGCAATGTGTGGAAGGGCAAATGTCTGCCCAATCATGATGATTCTTTCATCCCTCCATGGCTCTCTAAGCACACCAAGGCAGAGCTCCATTGGTAATGAAATCTTTAGTTTCTCCTTTAATACTTGATTATTTCATATTAAAAGCTGTTTCTGAAACACGCCCATCAGCTTGTATGCAAAGAAGCTTGTCTTCAGCCCCTTGCAGTGGAAGCTTGCCATGCTAGTAAGGAGGGCAAGAGAAAGTATTCCGCTTCTAAAGTTTGCTGGAGGGACTCAAAGTACAACCAGTGTACTTGTGTTCCAATCTGAGTAATTATACTCTGCCTACACAAATTCTCCCTGCAGTTTCATTTGAAAATGTTCTTTAGCCATTCCTTTCCCGAATGGTATTATGAGCACTGTTGAATACTGAGAAGTCAGAGCTTTGCAGCAGTGGGTGGATGAAATGACACCAGTACAGACAACCCTTGTCCTCAGTTTTAGGGGCACAGCTCCTATCAGCTTGATGCTGTACTGTTAGAATTAAAGAGCAGTGCCAGGAGGTCCTCCTCAGATGGTAAATTAATCTGATAACAATTAAATATGCCAATGCAAAGCATTGTTTTATAGATACATATATCCGTATGATACCTGTATGCATAAGTGTTGAGACTTACTCTGGAAGAAACTTAGGGATCAAGGGATTGATGAGAGACTCCTTTTTCTAATTAAAAAACTACATTCTAACACTACTTGCCAAGTTAGATGTTCTAAGGAGGGTGAGCTAACCCAGAAGATTCCAGTAAGTTTAGGTGTGAATCAAGGCTTTATTTTAGCCCCTGTATTATTTAATCTTTTCATTGATGATTTGGCTCCCTTTTTGAATACTATTGATGGTCACAGTCCCAATAAAAGAAAAAGAAAAATAAGTGTTGAGACTAAGTCACAATTTTTGTTTTGTTTTATACGCTTACGCTAAAGTTGTTGGCTATTAATCAAGATCTCAGGCTGCCCTGCCCTGGATAGCCCAAGCAAGCTGGATCTCATCAGATCCCGGAAGCTAAGCAGGGTCGACTTTGGCAAGTACTTGGGAAACCTCCTTGAAATACCAGAGGCAGGAGGTGGGGGCAGGCTTTATTCAACCACCTCTCTGAATATCCTTCAGGCCCCCAGTAGGGGTCAGTCACCAGAGGTCGCCATGACTTCCAGGTGCACACACATGCACACATTAAAAAATACCAAAAAAGACCTCAGGCATCTACAGTTAAAGGATCTCAGATAATAGGTACTGGGAAAGACCTATCTCTACCTGAGACCCTAGAGAATTACTATAGGTCGGAATGCACATTGCTGAGCTAGACAGCTCAATGT